ATGTGCGATTTTGAATGTAGATAATTTTGGGGAGCAGCTCTGGTGCACAACATTCTCTTTATTGACAACACATACACCGAGTGAAGCATGTTAAGGTAACCACTGCTAGGGAAACATACTTGAGTATCCGTCCTACAAGATCTGGAGTGAGGATTTTCCAAGTTATAATCTTAATAGTAGAATTTGCTGACTCTGTCCTTTAGAAAGTTAGATTCTCCCTCCCACAGCTTACCATCAATAATAAAGAACATAAGAATGAATGTCCTTCACAGTGATGATGCTGCTTATTCTGCAGCTGCTGCAGAGCAAAGTGCTGTAGCTAAAAGAGACAACTGCTGCAAGATGGGGACCATCATCTTTCATAAAACTGCATCTTGATGAAATAAAAAAAAATTAAGCTTTTCTTTTTATGACGTTCCTCAAACATACTAAGAACCGTAGCCACACCACCACAATCATCACTGAATTTAAATCCTCTGCAGTATGGCACTTAAAGTTAGAATAAGGTTATTTTGTTTATGCTGAAATCAGAACTTTATTTAGAATTAGTTGGTACAGAAAATATGGGGTTGTTTTGGTTTTTTTAAGTCTGCCTTAACAAAAAAGTTCTAAGGTAAAAAGCGCAAAATTTCAAACACCACAAATGCATTATTCATTTATTAGCCTTCCTGAAGAAAAAAGAAGTAAAAATTTAAATTGTAATCTCAAGAGTAATTAAAATTATCACCTAATGTAGTTACTATTAATATATAACATATATAATACTTCAGTGTCACCCTTGTTATAATGCCCACTGGAAAAAAAAAAAATCTGTTTTTTGGAAACTTGGTTCCCACTCTACATGGAAGGTAAGGAGATGAATTTTACATCATGCATGAGAACGATCAAATTTCAGTACTACATAAGAAATGCACCAAATCATTATCAACCAATTAACCTTTGTCTTTTTATATACTGCCTAAAGACCAGCAGGAGCAGTCTGTTTCAGTAAAGTTTTCTGGACAAACCTGATCACCTAGGAATGTAAAGCTTTTCACTTTCATTTTTGTCACACAGAAAAGAAGTTGTATCTTGTGAAGTCCAGTGTCTTGGTGAACAACTTTTTGTATTTGAAGAAGTAGTTTTTGGCTTTGCCACAAATAGCATATTCAAATAAAGCTTCTTCATGATTAATTAATTTGCAATGAAAGCAGAGATATTTAAGTTGTGCATATATGAAAGACATCTACATATGGAAAAAACTGTGCTTCCTATATAAAATGGTACTAATTGCTAATACAAGTTATTCATCTAATAAACATGCCTACTTGCTATTCAATTTATTTTTCAGATTCAGGATGACTGGAAATACGTTGCCATGGTAATCGATCGTATTTTTCTATGGGTTTTCATTCTGGTATGTATTCTAGGAACAGCAGGATTGTTTTTACAACCTTTGATGGCTGGAGATGAAATGTAAAGATTAAATAGTATGTTGGGAAATCAAAGAAAACTTTTGCCAACCAACTCTGCACTTCCACCCCAGCACCTGACGTCTTTTCTATGTGTAGTATAATAAGGATCTCTCTTGGCCTCAACTTTCCTTGACTAAGGCGGCTTTGTTAAAAACATGAAAACGTTGAGGGGGGAAAAAAAAATATTTTGAACCTTTACGACAGCTCATCTCAAAGTAATATGAACTATGCTTGACAGCTACTTTTTGCAATAACTGGAAAAGATGTAGGTAGTACATTAAACTTTACAGGAATGGTTTAAGAAAGGATTGATAATGAAACTGAAAATTACATGAATTTTCGGAAAGTCAAGACAGGTTGAATACTTTGGGCTACTAGACTTGTTTCCACGAGTCTGGTGACAAGTCTCTTCAGACCATGACAGGATCTTCTGGGAATAAGTTCATACTGACTTCAGTGAATGCCTTCATGAGGACGAAATGGTTTAGGAAGCATACATACCAAATTGCTAGAGTGCAGACATTGCCACCTGGTGTATAAACTGACTCAAACAATGGGAGAAAAGAACCATGGGCAGGTTTATTACAAAAGGAAAACAAATAGGTAAATAATAGATGATGGTAATAAAGCAGCCATAATGTAAACTCTGTGCATCCCCATATTTCAATGTATGAGAAGACTGTCAGAAAAAACAACCTATTCAAACCTAATAATGTTTGAAACTCTGTACAAGTAAAACACACACTAAGATGCAGTCTGCAGGTTATGCAAACAATCAAAATACTTTGACAGGATAGTTTGGATACAGAAGCATCCTGCTATAGCAAAGTGTTTTATGACAAGGGAAGGCAGGTAGATACAAAATAGTCCTGTAAAGTATGCTAAAATTGCTTCTTAGGCATACATTTTATTTTTTTTTAATCAGTAACTGCAGATAATTTAAGAGCATGAATAAAGAATGCAACAAAATACTGGAATGAGAAAATACCTTGTAAAAATATGAACTGTTCTCTCTGCACCAAACTGGAAACTTCTTGGAAATACAGCGTATCAAGTGATGTAACATTTATGAAAATAAAGAGAACCAAGCTGTTGAAAACTGTGGGGTTTTGTTTTTTTTTTTTTCATTTTTCTTGATTAAGTGACAAAAACCTATATAAGGTAGCATTAGCTACAGCTCAACACATTCAGAAACAAGTTACACAAGTAAAGGTCCATGCTTCTGAGTCTATTAAAATAATTTTGTTTCAGACACACCTGATAAGCTGAAGACCCCAAGGATAGTGTCAGCTATCTTATCTGTATTATTTGTATCATGATCAGATTGTAGAAGTGACTAGAAGTAATTGATGCATTTACAAAAATTGTGAGTTACTAGTATAAAGACTGGGACTCCACTGGCCAAAATGTTGCCAATCACCTGATGATATAATTGGGCAGTCTACAGACATCATTTAACAAAGGGACAGATGAGATGGGGAGTTAAAAAACCAATATATATAGCTAATCTATAGTTTTACTTACATTTCTTTCTGTTCAGGTAAGAGTAAACTTCAGTAATTCAAACCCAAGGAGGGCTACAAAAGAAATTTTGCATTTGGAGAGGAAACAAGATATCTAAAGTATTTCTGCAACTTCCATACAGAGGGAGTCACTGATGCATTGTTTAATCTTAGTAATACTGAGAAAGTTAAAATTATTATATTAATGAATTAAATCAAGTAATCTTTGCAAATTCACCTTTAAAATTAATTATGATGGGAATAGAGGAAATATGGCTATCTAATGCCAGACATAATTGTGTAACTGAAGAGGAAGAGTGACTCCCTTTACAATCAGAATTATTTATAAATTGGTATTTAAAAAAAAACCAATAATGCCAAAGAGCCACCCCCCCAAAAAAAACCCAAAAAGCTTGCCTGGCATAATTTCCCTGCCTGTGAGCCTTATAAAGCTACACAAAACAAAGAATGTTGTACAGGTGAAAACAATTTGAAACAAATATTCAGTTATATATAAGCTATGACATAAGCAATCGGTATTATAATCAGTACAGTGCCAAACAGTGGTATTCTAAAGGAGATACAGAGTGAGGGGCAGAAATATGTATCCATTTTCCAAATTCATAACGACTATAAAAACATACATTATCAAAGATACCACAATTTACATTCAAATTCTCACCTAAACATGTTATTATTGATGTAGCAATTTAAGCAAATAAAAAATTCCCAAGACTTGCTCTAGCTTGGCAATACTGTATTAGCTCTGCAGGGTGCAACTATATTACGAAGCACACTGACAAAACTTTGGTGTAGGAAACCCCCATCGGTTTTAGAGTCTCTTCCAGAAATAAAGCATTTAAGAAAGGTGGCTTTGGAATGAATGTAAAGAATTTAAAATCAGTATTTGAAGAATATATTTTAATGGAATAATTTAAAAGATGCAAGTTACTTTTCAACACTGTCAGAAAAAAGAAAGCATGGAAAGCTGTAAGTCCTCGCTGCTTAGAGTTACATATGGTTCTATAAGTGAGAGAACCTATTAAAGGTAGCTTTCTAAGTTCAATTTAACAAATGCGTGAAAACTTAATCACCTGTACTTGGTTACACATAATAATTTTCAAGCCATTTCCTTCAGAAAGGCATTCCCCAAATTCCTTCTACCCGTGCTTAAAAACTTAATGCTGAGAAACACACAAAGGCAAGAAATGATTAACATGTTTGCAACCAACATACTGTAACAAATTCTTCATCAAGAATAAAGAAATCGGAATGTTCCGGTCCATTAGAATACTTGTGCAACTTGAGAACTTATTTAATTGTCTTTGCCTTCCTTTCCATAGCTGATAACAGAGATATCAATATACGTGTATTCTGTAGGCATTTTAAGGCTTACTGTATTAAATGTTCATGTTAGTATGATAGAATTAACAAGGTTTTAAATTTAGCAGCAAATTCCACTGAAAATTTATAAAGGCAAAACATAGCCAAATTGCTATTTTTACTGACATGTTGAATATACGGGAAGTTTAACTGGTATTTTTATCATTATTTTAAATTTACTCTGTAGAAACGTTGTATTTTTACAACACATTGAAGAGAGCTGATAAAAATTCTCCTTTGCATGCTATAGTAAATTGAAATAAACAACTCTACTGTGTAAATATCTGCAAATATTTAACACTCAATATAACAATTTATATAGTAATTTAATAATTGGACTACAGTGATCATCATTACAAAATTTTAAATCCTTCTATTTTGCAGCAGGTGTCAGTGTATGCTTTTTTGACATATACATGCAAATGCTTGAGAAGGTCCTTTTAATTCTGACCTGATTTAGAAGTAACTTAGTAGACTGGCAATAAGCAAATTGACTTCTATCTGTCCTAGGGATGCCATGCTTTAATATAAACATAATTTTCTGGGTTTGGATTTTTTTTTTTACTCTATCAGAAACATGCTTACAAATAACGTGCATGGAAATAGAGCTACTGCAAAACTCTTTAGAGCCATATTAGCAGGAGACAGATTCAAAAATATTTTATGCATTTGTACTGCCTATATGCGTAGGTACTATTATACTTGCCCATTTATGAATAACAGGAATAAATAACACAAGTGATCCAATTATTGAAACCAGAAGAAAAGTCCATAAGAACATTCGATCAAGCACCTGAGCAATAAATTTCCAGTCCTCAACAACCTAAAAAACAAAGAGCATAAGGGTTGGTCAGTATGTGCAAGAACAGGTAAAAATACAGTACCAAACTCTGCAATTCTTAATCACCTTACAGTACACTTTTTTCCAATCAGGTCCATTTAGTAACTCCCTTTAGTAACTTTTTATAATTACACTATGAGCTACAACAGAAATAAACATCCTTCTATGGAGATTGGTAAGCTATATAGACCAATACTAGATATTAATGCAGAAACTGACCCTGACAAGCACTTTACATCCTCAACTACAGAGAGATGAAATCGGTATGCAATTTTCTAACATACTGAAGGACTCAGGATTCATGCCACAGCCTCATCATAAAGTGGAATTCCTGGGCAGGAGCTAGAAGGGAAAAACCAAAACCAAACAAAACCAAACCACCAAAAAACCCACAAACCACCCAAAACAAAATTAAAAAAAAACAAAAACAAAAACAAACCAAACCAAAACAGTAGACAGCAGCTGTTGTGTTATATACAAGATCTGAAAGCTGTGAAGTTACTGCTGCACAGAATTATACATTAGGGAGAATACAGTGCTTTCACGACTATTTTCCTTTTTGATAGGATTATTCACATCTATACACAGTTTTGCCAGTATAGCAGATATAATTGTGCAAGCAAATTAAAACCCTGCCAAACAATTGTCTTTGATTTGAACTGGAGCTATCCACATTTCCCAAGCCTACTGCTTCCTAAGAGGTAAGACTACAACAGGACTAGTTGTGTAGTTTTCATTAACAACTTTTGCAATTACAGTTTGCATTCTCTGGAGCCCAAATAGTAAAATACAACTGAATCCCCAGTCAGATGTATATTAATTTCTGAGGTTTAGAGTCACAACAACATTATTCCCGAAAAACAAAATACTTATCACCTCTCGTCACTCACAGTCAAATAGAGTAAGTTCAGTAAGAGAAAGAAATTATGTATTTAATAGCAAACTATTCTATTTGTGTTGTTTATACAATGCAGGGGTATTAGATGCCGTTTTAACAGTACAGTAGATACATTTATTCAAAATCTAGACTAGATACCTTGTGATAATGTCAGAATTGAGTCCTGAGAAGGTACATTAGAGGAGTTAGCTTACTCCTAGGCTAGCATGTGAGAACACACTCTCAGCAACCAGCAACTTTTGAAGACAGTCATTTCTGTATAAATTGAAAGAATTTCAGGCCTTGCCATCAGAAACAGATAGCAGTATCATGAGACCACACAACAAACTTCTATATTTCTACACTAGCCTGAAAATGGGATTTAAGTCTCTGATGTACTAATGGTGCTAGTTTAAAAGGCACGGAAAGAAAAACAGATTCATAATGCTCTTGCCTGAATGGTGTAAACATCCATTACAGATAGTTCAGAGTGCAAAGGCACAGACTGAAAAAAAGCCTTTGACATCTTTTGATATAACTTAGGGACAAATGATAATAAGGCTAGAAGAGAACACTCAAGACTTCATCTAGTCCACATTTGAGCTCAGCACAAGATGACCAACATATGGCTATAGCTTGCATTTAAACTAATGTAAGTTAGGGCATTAAAAATTGTTTTTATTTGGAATTGAAAGCTGCAAAATAAGGCTTAGCAGTATTTATTCTGAAAATGTACAGCAAATGCATTTTTCAGATAGCCTTCAGGTACAACATTAAAATGAAAAATACCTACTTCTCTCATCATGAAAATAACATCCAGCAGCACCGTAGGGAACAGTAACAGTACATGCTCTTGTAACAGACAAGTATCTCTGAAAATGTGTAATTAACAACATGAACTTTCTTCTAGAAGAAAGCAAAAGACTTTAAAGAATGCAAGAACCCAAGGACTGTATTGTATCAGCCCAGTATCCGTAAGAATTCTCAGTATTGCACCATACTTGTACTTCTTTCCAGTGAAAATAATTATACAGCTGCCACTGAAGTATAAAAACTGGAAATCCCATAGCACATATTTAATATACAACAGCATAGTAAACCATTACTTGGTTTTCTAACTTCCAGTTTTACAAAATCAGTGTAATATGACTACTACACTCACCTCGCGAACTTCATTCTCCTTCATAACATGTCTTGTAATGTATCGGATAGAATCTAGAGCTGCTTCCAAAGTGTTCCTAGATGATTCTGATCCATTCATATTGCCTGTTTCCTCCTTCTGAGCAAAGTATCTATCTACGTGACTTCTCATGCAAAGCAGCTTGGGAAGTTTGTGAAGAAATATCTTGCGAACCCAAGGTGCCATAGCATTGTGTGTAGATGAAGAGCGATGATGAATATTGATAGCAAAGACAGTTATCACAATGGACAATGTCACAAATATCATAGTAAACACCAAGTACTCTCCTATAAGTGGGATAACTTTAGAAGATGATGGAATAATCTCTTCAATAACAAGAAGAAAAACAGTCAAAGATACCAGTACTGAAGTGCAAAGTGAAATTTTTTCACCTTCATTTGACGGAAGATAGAAGACAAGGACAGTTAGAAATGAAAGCCCAATACAAGGAATAATGAGAAACAACGTGTAAAAAAGTGGCAAACGTCTAATTATAAATGAATATGTAACAAAAGGATACCAGCAGCATCCATCAGTCCTATTTCCTTTGCTCCCTGTTGCAGTCACTATTTCCCATTCTCCATTATCAAAAAAGTCTCTTTTGTCAACATCATAATCTTCAAGAATTATATCAACCTGTGAGCCATCATAAGTCCAGGAACCAAACTTCATAGAGCAATTTTGGAGGTCAAAGGGGAAGAAGGTTACATCAATAGTACAAGAACTTTTGTAGTTTGCTGGTGGAGTCCAAGCAATGGTGCCATCATATTTTACCACAGTTTTTGTAGATGTTCCCTCAAACCGTCCATCTGCACTGAAAGAAGAGAGATATATGCATGCAATTACAATGGCTGTGTGTGGGGTATGGGTGTGTGCTTTTTAAATAAGAAAATATGTTTTGTTACTGTAATTTCAGCTGTTTATCCTTTCTCCCCCTTCATAGACAAAATTTTGTATTGTGTTCACAGTCAACTCTTCTTTTTTTTTTTTTAAATCTGAATCTCACAAAGGTAAACAGCTTTGGAAGAGCGAAGAATATTTTCAAGTCATGAAAAGATCTGTGCAACTTTCTGTGGTCCCAATGACTTATGAAAGGACTGTAAAAATCCTGACCTTTAATAGCATGACCAAACTCTGGTATTTCTATCAGTAATACAGCATAAATACTTTTCAATTTGGCCAAATCATAATTACTGAAGGAAAAAAGTTACAAAACAAGTAAAATAATACTTGTGTGCCACCTCCAAACTTGAATTTACAGTCAGTGCAACAGCCTTTTTTGTTGACTCAACAAGTCAGGAAATGTAAAAGCATTGTATATGCACCTGAGTTGAGCAGAAAGGTTAATTCAAAAGTTATTGCTTCTGAGATCTACTAATTCTCAAAAAAAAAAAAAAAACCAAAACAACAAAAACCCCTTACAGTTGAGTGTACTTAAATCCATGCTGAATATGGGTTACAACAACAGTTCATACTAGTTGCTTCCCTCCCATCACTCTACACTTTAGTTTGTACCCAGCACTGTGCAAGACATTGTTTTCTAATTAAGAAAAGAGTTTACATGAAGAAGTGGAAATAAACTTTTTAAAGAGACTAGACATTCCATACTGGCATACTGAAACAAAGCAAAACATTTAAGTATTTAACATGGTAACAAAATCCATTCACATTCAGAGGCAAATTCTTTCACACATTCTTAGCTCTACTAAATGTACACATTTATCTATCCAATGAGCCTCCTAGAAGCAGCTTGGACAGTAAAGTTAGGAAGTAAATGTATTTTACATGAAAAGATTAAAATCTTACTTGTCATACAACACGATATCTGGAATCCAAATAGAATCCGATGGGACACGAATAGATGTGATTCCAGCATAGTCTTCAGGATTCCACCTTAATTTTACATCTATCCATTCCTGTGGATATGTGAGATGTAAAAATCATTATTATTGTGAAGCTGATTTAAGCTGGGCAGGACTGAATGAAAATAACAGAAAAAAAAAGCAATTAAAAAAAAAAAATCAAACTGGCTTCTAAAATTTGCACATAACAGTGAATTTGGCGAACGGGCATCTATTTACCTCATCCAGTATTTGTTTTCTGTTGCAAGAGCCACTTGACAGTATTTCTGTATAGAACTGAAGATATTACAATCTTATACATAAGTAAGAGCATGTATACATAAGTAAGAGCTAATATAACATATAGACAGTTAAATTTGAAAAAAGCTTGACTTTGGAAGCTAACCAGAAGCAATTTAAATATTTTCATCACAAAAAAAAAAAATCATGCTGCAACTCTCACAAGATAGTTGTTCCCATTTCTACCAGCAACACTAAAAATAGCACTATTAAAAACATAGTAGTACTTTGGCGATTTTGTACTTGAACTCAAAGCTCAAGAGGAAAAAATCAAGTTTCTAAGAATTCACTATCACATAGAATTTTAAATGCATATTCAGGTCAGTTCTTATTTTATTTGAACTGGTTCAATTGCAACAAGTCCTGCAGAAACTATTAAAGGGCATGAAGTGTTATCATCAACATATTGCCATCTCATACTTGCTGAGTAGTCTCAAAGTTTTCCTGAAAAGAAAAACTTTGCCTGAAATTACAGTTACTGGAAAAGAAGCGAATGGGAAGCAACAGGAAAAAAAACAAAGGAATTAGCCCAAACAAAAATAATTTAGTAAGCTAGTAAGTATAATCAGGGTCTGCAAACATTCTTCTAAGTTAAATCAAGAATGATTTGTGAGCAGCATTTCCCAAGTTAATAGTGGCCATTAAGTTTAGCATTGGACTCTGATTATTATAAAGCCTGAGGCTTTTTCCTGCCCATAAACAAGTATTCTTAAGAGGAAAAAGTAGCTCTTTATAGCAAGCATATACAACTTTGAAACTGAAATTATTCAGTGATGTTTATCTGATAATCTCAAATACCCCACAAGAGAAAGATCTTAAAACTATTATACAAAAGACTACACAAACCCATACTTTTCTTAATGTAGTTTTTGAAAGAAAACTTACATACTGAGTCAGTAACTTTTATGGTTGGATACATGCACCTTGGTATACTAAGTGGCCATGCAATGCCATATCAGATTTCTTTTAATTAGGTAAATTGTTCCAATTTACCTTTGTTTGTTTGTTTGTTTGTTTGTTTTTGTGTTTTAAGAGTTTTATAGCAATTAATCCTTTAAAGCATTTCCAGGGACATTTTTTAAAGATACTATGTAAAATAAAAATTCATGCAACAGCTAAGTTTTTTTGAATATACAATTAATTAGAAAAGTTTCTTCCAACTTGCAGTTATGAAGCTTCAGAATTTTTCATCATTATTTTACACATACCTGTTTCAACCAGACATTTGTTGTCATCAACTGATTTTTCTCATCCTATAAAAATAAAGCATATTTTATGAAAAAACATCTGCACAGTACATTCATAGTAACTATCTGCTTTAGTTCACAAAGGTCTGTAATTTAAAATACAAAACACACTTCTAAAAGCATTCCACTCACTGATAAGTATGTTTATATGAGAACTTTTGAAACATACAATTATGACCTTTGATTATTTAACTGTTACGAGTGATATTTTTCCCCTTCTGTGCCTCTTTCCTCCCTTCCATTTTTTTATATGACTGTATTTTATGCAGTCTTACTGTTTTTTTATGGAAACATAAAGGAATAACCAACATGTGGAAGAAAAACTCCTCTTATAGCTATAAACAGTGAATTCAATTTGAAAAGAATATTCTGAAGTGAATAAGTATCACGGGGAAAAAAAAATGGTTGATCTCTTTTACATCACAAATAATGCCAAGAGATAATCTTCATAACTATGGAAGTGATATATTTGAAGGCTTAGAGAATTTTTGCTGCTTACGGGGAGGAAAGAGCAGTATTTGCAAGTGTTCCTGAATTTTACAGAAATGAGGTTGATAAAGTTTAAAAATATGTGGTTTTCCCATTGAATAAATAAATTAAAACACAATTCCCTAGGCTTAAGGATTTCGCTCACTTTTTTTTTCTGAAAACACCACTAAACTTAAGAGCCATTTGTTTTCTCGACCTCTTTGCAATCATTTCTTCATGCTCCCATCTACAATGCATTTTTTATTACACTGATAAAAATTTTAGAGGTTTAATCTATTGTGTTTAAGCTAAAATATGCACATTATTTCATATGACATTATGTTCCAGAATTTTAAGAATTTGGGAAAAAAAATAAACAAACTTATTTACTATACATACCACATCTACTAGCTGAGAGATTGCAAGGCCAAACTTTATTTTTACTGTGTCATTCAAGCGTTCCACTGGACGAACCCATCTTTGATAGTCTTCAAATAAATGTTTAAACAAACGATCTTCACTTTTAGCAATAAAAGAAGGTTCAGACACACCTATATAAAAAAAGTCATTTATTAATATTGATTTTAATGAACAGCGTACATCTGCATTCCTGTGTCCAAAGAGCTATGTTTATGCAGAGTTAAATTTCTCATATTATCCCCTTTTCTCTGGAAGCACGGCCAAGGTCTTGGAAGAAAACTTTAATAAACTTACCTGGTTTTATTAGCATCTCCATACCACTGTAACACTTTTAAAATCTATGACTCTAAAACATTAGGATAATTTTAGTAATAATAAAGGCAAAATGCACTTATATCATTTACCTGGTGCCATCCAATTATGGAACTCCTCTAAAACTGAGAGCTTATCTATGAGGGACTGAAGTTCTATCATTCTAGAACAAAGTGGTACTTTTTAAAAACCTGCATCCACACTACACAGGTCTGTAGTATATTGCATAACTTGACCTCCAGCCTCTTCATGTTTTATACATCATTTCTTTCTAACGTTTGGTCACATCTGTGATGTATAAACTTCGCAGTACTTGTAGAGCACTTCTTCCCCACACTGTTTTGTATCTTAAACATATGTGCCAATCTATTTACCAGTCTACCCCCTACCTATTCTGATGTTATATTGACTGGGAGGCACCTTTCTAGTTAAGTAATAGCATACATTCAGTTACTTCTTTTTCATAGCTCTCAAGGAATCTTTTCAATGCCTGGTGACTGACTGATCACCTGGAACAGCCAAAAATCTTTGTATAGCTTACAGACAAGTGGAAACTAAATGTGTTCTTTTGTCTCCTGAAAGAATGGAATACATGACAGAGCTTGGGGGCAGCGGGGTGGCGGGGGAAGCACAGCAGGGAAGTACTGTAGATGCAGAAACTGCAGGCATAGAGGAGCAGCCCAGACTTTAAGAGAGATATGTAAGTTGTCCTAAGGCACCTCATCAAGCAAACACTGTCCTTTATCTTTGGGAATCCACAAAAAAGATTTTTTATCAATGTGGTCTCACTGAAGTATACCAGTAGAAACCCTGCTCCCCCAAAAAAGGCAAAGTTTAAGGTTTCTCCATTATGAGAACCCATGCAAAAATTATTTACCCTAAATAACAAGGACAAACTTGGGGAAGATACAGAGAGAGGGGAGGAAAAAAGGCTAGCTAAGAAATTTGAGTAAGAACAGCTTTCAAAGGCCTGAAGAAGGCCACCACCTCAAGAAGTGGCACAAGCTACTGTATTGGGTTTACATGGCAAGGTTTGGGGAGTAGGGTGGGCTACAGGGGTGGTTTCTCTGAGAAGCTTCTAGAAGCTTCCCCTATGTCCAATAGAGCCAATGCCAGCCAGCTTCAAGATGGACCTGCTGCTAGCCAAGGCCAAGCCCATCAGCGACAGTGGTAGCACCTCTGTGATAACACCTCTGTGATAACATATTTAAGAAGGTGGGAGGGGGGGAAACATGGGATGGGGACAGGCACAACTGCAGCTGGAGAGAGGAGTGATAATATGTGAGAGGAACAACCCTGCAGACACCAAGGTCAGTGAAGAAGGAGGGGGACGAGATGATCCTGGTGCCAGAGCAGAGATTCCCCTGCAGCCCGTGGTGAAGACCATGGTGAGGCAGGCTGTGCCTCTGCAGCCCATGGAGGTCCATGGTGGAACAGGTATCCACGTGCAGGCCGTGGAGGACCCCACGCTGGAGCAGGTGGATGTGCCTGAAGGAGGCTGTGACCCCATGGGAAGCCCACGCTGGAACAGGCTCCTCGCAGGACCTGTGGACCCATGGAGAGAGAGGAGCCCACACTGGAGCAGGTTTGCTGGCAGGACTTGTGACCCCATGGGGGACCCAGGCTAATGACTGATTGTTGAAGGAATGTACTAAAGATAATAGGCACCAGGATATCTATAATGAGGGGCAGAAGGCCAAGAGATCTCTAAAACAACAAACATACATCCCTGAGTGTCAAAACTCCAATTTACTCCTCTCTAACTAGTCAGGAAGATCCACTAATTAGTGTCCCCTAGGTGAACCAGCCAATTATAATATGAAAACCACACCTCTGTTGGAAGAGCTACCCACCTCCAAAGGGAGACTCCTACCCACTCAGCACGTGTAGTGATTTTAAAGGGAGCTATGTCTTTAAATCGAAGCAAAAGTAGAAATAACCAACAACTAACAAGCAGGCGTTGAAGCAAAAGTAGAAATAATCAATGACTAACAAGTAGGTGTTAACAGTAGGCCTAGTGACTTTGTTTAATTGTATAAATATGTGAAGCAAGAATAACAGGGTGCGCTAGCTTTGTGGAATTACCACCTAGCACCCATCTCCACACAGAAATGGAATAAAGCAAGTATCTCGATGCAGTGCATGAATTGGTTCTTGCACACTCGTCTTTGGGACAACAACACTGGAGCAGTCTGCTCCTGAAGGACTGCACCCCGTGGAAGGGACCCATGCTGGAGCAGTTCGTGAAGAACTGTAGCCCGTGGAAAGGACTCATGTTGGAGCAGTTCATGGAGGACTGTCTCCCATGGGAGGGACCCCACGCTGGAGCAGGGGAAGAGTGTGAGGAGTCCTCCCCTTGAGGAGGAAGGAGCAGCAGAGATGATGTGATGAACTGACTGCAACCCCCATTCCCCATCCCCCTGCGCTGCTCTGGGGGAGAAGGTAGAGAAAATCGGTAGTGAAGTTGAGCCCGGGAAGAAGGGAGGGGTGCAGGGAAGGTGATTTAAGATTTAGTTTTTATTTCTCATTATCCTACTTTGATTTGACTGGTAATAAACTAACCTGATTTTCCCCAAGTCAAGTCTGTTTTGCCTGAGATGGTTGCTGAGTGATCTCCCCCTGGCCTTACTTCAACGCATGAGCTTTTTGTTATATTTTCTCTCCCCTGTCCAGTTGAGAAGGGGAGTGACAGAGTGGCTTTGGTGGGCACCTGGCATCCAGCCAGGGTCAACCCACCACAGCTACACACACCACCTTGAAGGGAATGGCTCCAAAAGGGTCTCCAATTCCCACATAGAAGTCAGAGCAACCACCAGAAGACATGAACATATGCTCTAGACAAAGATTTTTACTACTCACGATGAGATTTAAACTGACTAAACTACTGCTGAAAAAAGACCTAACAATTATTATAGTCAGCTGAAGAGACACAGTAAACCAAAGAAAGATGTTCACAACCATCTCTTTTTAATGCAGATTTAAAATATTATACATTACATAAATGTATAGCATGACCTCTGTAGAAATTATGTGCTCACTAACAGCATCCACCTAAAAAAAGCTATATCAGAAACAGAAAAGCACCAGAGAATGTCATAAACAGATTAAAACCAGAGTCATCCATACAAGGAGAGATTTAAGAGATTAACATTATTTTGTTTGGAGAGGAGGTGAATTTAGTGAACATAACAGAAACAGATAAAGTAGTGAACGATACATGCAGAAAAAAAAACACTGATGGTATTTAACTTTTCTCATACAGGAGGGTAAAGGAAACAAAAGCATCAATTAAAGGCAGCATAAACAATTTCTATTTGAAGTTCATCACCATCAACATTCAGTAAATCAGAGATTATTAGACAAAGAAGAGGACTAAAATTTTAGAATTGCCTGGGATTACTAAATTGTCAGTTATGTCAGGCAGCACTGTACTTGCACAAGGTATCAATTCTCATTTCAACACAACTTGCAAAATCTACCTTAGAATTTGATCAACAGTTTGACAGCTTGCATTTGTTGCAGAGACTTGGCTAACACCATTTAAGTCATTAATTTAGACGGACCTAAGCAGGTTCTATGTGACTGCAACCACTGCAGCCTAGGCAACTAAGACAGGCAACGTAAGTTAAAGTTCCCTCCCATTCATCAAAGTGCTCTTGTGACAGCAGTGACTTTCTGCTGCACTGCAAAAGGCTGCACTTACAGATCCTTTAGACAAAACATCTGAAGCACTTGAGCCCAACCACAAGAAAATTCCCTGCCTTCTGCACTGCAGGTTTGGGGCAGTCCAGTAGAACTATTATTAGGAACATTAACTGGATTTTCTCTGAAATTAATTTTATAGTAGGAGCAAAAGCAGAATGTAGCTTAAGGAACAGGATCAGCAAAGTGGGAGCAGCAGGACTCCTTTTCCCTCCAAATCTTACCATACACTAACATGCTGCTGAACGGTTCTTGTCGCAGGCTAAATCAGCATTTGGGTTTTAAGACAGTTCACCTTTCTGTTTCAAAATACAAATATATCTGTTTACAGTTGTATTTCATTCATTCACAAACACTTAGCAACCTATTGTTCTTCAAGATGATTTGTACATGCTCTACAATTTAATATCTTTCCATTTCAAGATTGTTGACATGTGGGTTCTGTAATAGCAAAGAACTGATGGGCAACTTGCCTTGTACCACTGAGCATACCTCAGGTGGATACATGAAAACACAGGACATAAGAATTGCTGCCAACTGCTTAGGTGCAGTGTATCGTCATTGGCCAAGGAATTTTTCTTACTTTTAACTCTACATAGATTTGCCGAGTCCTGTTTTTTTACAGACATCCAAAAGAATGTTTCCTGAAGACACAACTTAATTTTGCTATTTCTATATACCCATTTCCTGAATTATGAATGGTTTTGTGTACATTTCAGCCTCATGTTTCATAAATACTTGATTTTTGCATTAGCATTAATTACATTTCCCTTTTACAGTTACAACTCTCAAATGAATTTTTTGTACAAGTTGAGAATGACTATGCAGCAGCGGGGTATTCTCTCTCCATTAATTGACCTTGAAGCAATGCAGAGGCAAAGTTGCACTTTCACCATTTCTGTGTTCCTGTAAGATGACCTCCTGTACAGCAATACAGCGTCTTCAGGGTACATGCTGTCTCCAGATTAAGCTTCTCTTAAAACACAGTATCTTCTCTGCTCTGCTGAATGGGGACATGTTCCTTTACTGCTTTTATATATTTACAGCATTTTTTCAAACATTTTACGCTCAGGCCTACACTATACTCACTGATTTATTAAGATGACCATATT